TAACTGCGAAGGTAATTGTGAAGCAATAGGGGATTGCCCTAGCTTTCTCTAATCAAACCGAGATTTAGGGTCCTAGCATGCACTTCACCCCAAGAGAATGACAACCAGAAAAATGTAAACAGACAGAAAATTACAAGAGCAAAGAACTTCACACACAAGGATGGAAAACTTCCAAGTGCCTTTCCCCCCAACCCCCATCCTGCACCCGCAGCACGGCTAAGCCTCGAGAGTGGTCCATGCCTGCCGATGACCCAACCAGAGAGGCTGCAGCATCCCGATGCAGAAAGCTTTCACAGCGCTGCCATTCAGTCCAGACCAACGCCAGGGACACACCTCCCACGGGAGACCAGCGCTGGTGCTGACCGAGAGCCTGGACCCCTCCTCTCAGTTGAGAAGGAACACCATACTTGAAGAAGGGAAAGACGCCAGAACCCTTCCTCATCTACCCCCACCCCTGCTTCCAGAAGAAGGCCCCTGGGACCAACACTGGTTGGCAGTAGCACTCTGTATCCTCCTAGCTGTGGAAAACCCTGATCTGCTAAGAGACAGCAGGGACAATGTCCACGCACCTGATAGAGCTCTACCCGGAGGTCTCAGCCCAGATCCCCCCTCTACCCCACCCCAACCAGGGGCCAGGCGCTCACCAATCCACTGAACATGAGTCAGCCCAGGACCAAGAGTGCAACAGTCCGAGGCCACAGCCCCTCACCTCGGGGGAAGTAGATGCTAGTCCTGACCAAGAAGGTTCCAATCCGGGATTCCAGTAAGGACAATCTCCCACGCCATCTTGTGGGAGCCCATTGCCTCCGAGGCCCACACACTTGGGTGGGGTCGGCCTCCCCTTAAAGCATGGTGGGACTCTGTGCCCCCATCCCAGGGCTCAAATGAGACCCAGGCGCTGGAACACTGCTCCTGGCCCCTCTGGAAATAGATGCTAGTCCAGGACTCATGCCAGAATGAGATCCTCCTTATTACTAGTAGAATTGGCCTACCGCAGTCACAGAACAAGGCCAAGACTGCTGTGTGCCACATTATCTAAATCTAGACCAGAACTCCAGAAAGCCCGCTCACCACAGAGCCCTAACAACTGACCCAGACCCATTACACTGTCTGCACCACCCAGAGTTAAGATTGCCAGATGCAAAGTCCAACAGAGATCTATCCAGTGAGCCACACTTCACCACCACACTTCACCAAAACCTGAATGGCCTTGACAAGCCCTGAGCTCAAATGCATAAATCACAACTGAAGATTATAAGATTCATGAACAATCAAGACAACAAACCAAATCCAAAAGCCGACAACAATCCAGGGAAGGATCTAAAGGAGAATGAAGAAGAGATGGAGGACGAAAGAACCATCAAAGAAATGGTAACAAAACTGTCTGTCAAAATAAAAGGGGATAGCCAAAAACAAATAGAAGAATGCAAGGAGGAAATGAGAAAGAATACATAGGTTTCCCCAAAAGATATGGAGAGAAAAACACATTTCATTAAAAGATGAAATTAAGGTCATGAGAACTGACCTCAAAAAAGAACTTGGAAGCTAAAAGTTCAATTTCTCTATTTCAAATCACAGTGGAAAGCCTAAACAATAGAATAAATGAAATTGGAAATAGAGTATCAGGAGTTGAGGCTAAAAACAGGAATAGAACAAAAAAGCAAAGTCATGGAATAAACAATGAGAACATAGCAAAGGGAAATCCAAGTACTTACAGACTCAATCAAAAGATCAAATTTATGCATACTTGGGATGGATGAGGGGGAAGAATTCAATACTAAAGACATTGCAAACCTATTCAATAAACTAATAACAAAAAACTTCCCCAATCGCAACAGGTAAAATCTACAAACTTCCAGTTCCACTCACTATTACACTAAATGTTACTAGTTTAGAACTAAATTAGTTCTAAATGTAAATGACAGAAGAGTTGTAATTTGTTCAAATGTTTTGTTGAAGAATTGTTCTGTGAATTCATCAGCCACATATATATTAGACACACACTGTACGTTAGGCATGATTTTTAACTCTTCAGAGAATCTATTGGGAATAAAAGAGAGAGGATTCCTTGAAATATTATTGGGTGAGGATGCAACCACTCGAAAAGAAAATCAAAATAAACTAAGTTCACATCACCAAAAGTGTGAAGAATGACTTGGGACTGACCTTAGGTGTGGTAGTTAATCATCGAGTCTGATAATGCAACATTGGACAGAAAGAAATCGAGTATGTCAAAATTGTGTAGGGTAGCAGGTGAGATATTTCAGGCAAAGGTGATCCGAGAGTCATAGGAAGATAGGAAGAATGTCAAGTAACATAAGTAACATTGCAGAAGAGGTAATATACAGGTGCAAGGAAAAGAGAGAAAGAGGGGATAGAAGAGAGGAAGGAGGAGTATACATAATCAAGTGAGAGTGTATGGATGCATGCAGGGAAAATGTCATGGGGAAACCATTTACTACATGCAAGTAATATACACCAATTAAAGTGTTGCACGAAAGCATTGTTGTGGACCAAGATTTGTACATCACACAAGCATACCATACTGAACGTCAACATGGAAGTCCTAATACTAAAGTTCCAGTTCATTAAACTGAAAATGAATTGTCCTCTGACCTTTGGAGGAGGCAGAGGAGTAAGTATTTTCTAGCTTTCTGAAACAGCTCAGTTCCAATGACATCATAAAGAAACTGCCTCTACTTTCATCTTTACAAAAAGCAATGTGAATAAACTGGTGTTAGTAAATCAGTTCCTTTCTGTTAACTGCTCTATATTTCTCTTCCTACCTTATCAGAAAAGTAACTATGATGTCTCGGGCAAGCAGAAAAGGTCAAAAGCTATGTTCATATGACCAGATAAATGATGTTAAGCGAAATGAACCCTAAGATAAGGACACAAGTGGTTTTTTTTCTTTCTTGCTATTGTTCCTAATGTATTTATAATGTACCATGTAATTTTTTTGTTTCTTTGTATGTTCCTCCCCCACAGTATAACCCCTGTTTTCACTGTATTTGGTGTCGGTGCCCTGCATCTTGTATATACACTTCTCTAGCATGGGGAAGGGAAGGGAAAAAACAAAATGCTTAAATAGAGATACAGGTTGACCCATTGTAACAATGAGAGGTACAAGACACTATGTTGAAAAAGGAACTTCACAATTTAGGCAGGGAGGGGGGAGTGTAGTTGTGGAGGTGGGAGGGAAAGAAGGGTAGGGAAAAAACGAAGAGGTAACAATACTTGATAGGAAATGTACTCATTACCTTGCTCATGTAACTGTAACCACTCTGTACAGTATTTTTACAATAAAAAACGTATTTTTTTTAAAAAGAAATGACAAATCTGCTTTTTTTGTTTTTGCTTTCATTAGTCATTCTGTATCTATAAGACCAACTTCAATGTTTACTCTATCATAAATTTATTCTGCTTTATAGAATAAGTAGTTGTCTAATTCTAGAATCATGAATAAAAATCAATTAAAACTGAGCACTAGATTACATGCCTGTAATCCTTAGAGGATGATATCTGGTTTGTAACCAGCCTTGGCAGAAAAGTCTATGAGACTCTAGCTCTAAAATAACCAGCAAATAGGCAGGCTAAAGGCATAGTTCAAGTGATAGCGTTCCAGCCAATCAAGCCGAGGAAGTATGAGCCCTTTAGTTCAAACACTGATAGCTCACACACACACAAAGCCTGTCAACAAAACTGACCATTTTGTTTTTAACTAGAAAACCAGGATTGTGGATAAGAATGTGCAAGAGAAGAAGTAAGTTCTAAAGGTAGGTGGAGTCTGGTTTGACAAGAAATGTACTCATTATCTTACTTATGTAACTGTAACCCCTTTGTACATCAGTTTTACAATAAAGTTTTAAAATAGAGAATAAAGAATAAAAAGAGAAGTTCAGAAGCATTTCAAGGTGAGATGGAATGAACTACATTTTTTAAGCAGGAGAAGAATATAATTTAAGTTAAAAGTTAAAGTTTGCTCAGACTGCTTTGTGGAAAATAGATCATAGGGAGGTTAAGAGAGACGGCAGGTTAAATGATAGCCCCTCAACAAGACACACGTGTGCAAATGTTCTTGTTTAGAAAAAAGGGTCTGCATAAAACTGGGAAAAGTAAAGGAAGGAGTGACATTGTCCAAAAGAGAAACACACAGATTGCCTGAATTGTGAAATGGTACCCTGTATGTATGACACCTTACTAATGACATTAAAATATATGTGTGTGAATATATATATATATATATATATATATATATATATATATATGGGTCAGTTGTGGTGCTTGAACTCAGGGCCTGGAGCTGTCCGTGAGGTTTTTTGGTGCTCGAGGCTAGCTCTCTACCACTTGAACCACAGCTCCACATCTAGTTTTTGAGTGGTTAGTTGGAGATAAGAGTCTTAAGGGGATTTTCTGCCTGGACTGGTTTCAGACTTTGATCCTTAGCTCTCAGCTTCCTGAGTAGCTAGGACGATAGACATGAACCACTAGCACCCAGTTTAAAATTGTATTTTAAAAGAAGGGTCTGCATATGCAATAATCCTTAAGGAGCTCAATGTAAAATTGTTTTGGTTATCTTGTGAATCTTAAGAGCCAGGTATTTAGAGGGGATACAAGTGAATGATGCCGCAAAGGAGGCACCAGAAGTGGGAAGAGGGAAGAAAGATTCCTCTCTCTAGGCTTCAGAGGCAAAATGGTTCTTCTGCTCTCTTGATTCCAGATTTCTAGATTCCAAAACTAATTAAATGATTGAAAACAACATTATAATTGTATCAGCTCTTTCCTAATACAGGAGGCAACATCATTATTGAGAAGTGTGATTAGGACAGATTGGATATTATATGTACATTGACTTTGGTTTGGAATGCTTGAGTGAGACGTTTTCCCCAACCAACAGCCAAGGAGCCAATTTCATTACTGTGTCAAATCTCATGTACAGAATGCATTGTGTATGCTTGACTTTGCCACAAGATTCTCTATCACCTTATCCAGACTGGACTGGGAACCTAGATGAAGAAAATGAGGAAATAAATGAGATACCCTTGCTCATTTTAACACTTTTGGAAAGCTCCCCAATGGAGATAGAAGTGCATGCACACAATTATCTAAACTTGTATTTAGTCATGATAACTACTACATTACTACATTTTGGAAAAATTTGGATAATAACATCTTTCCTGTATATATCAAATTACACTTATGACTGTCAGTGGAAATAAAGTTTAGACATAGTAACTTATTAGACATTAAAATTCATTAGACTCTGTATGCAGCTGCTGGCCATTACAGCCATATCTTCAGCTCCAGAAGCACTCTATTCCAGTTGTGAATATTTCAACTAGCTGATGTTGGAATTTTTAGCTATCAGAAGCCTCTGTGAACTCTGGATAGTGCTACTAACCCTGAACCTATTCTCACTGGAGGGGAGGGAAGGACTTTCTCTGGTGATCCACTAGAAGGTCAGTGATTGTTGGAAAGAACATTCTATTTGCATGGTCTTCTGTGATTGATGCAGACAACTTGGGTTAGCATGTTGCACTGTGATATTGCATTATCAGGCCCAGAAGGTTGCTCCTCCTGAATGGAATTTTGTGCCTACTTTTGATCTTTATCAGTAGTAGAGTAGGCTGAGCGGGCAATAGGAGGAGAAGATAGTGAAAAGTGAAGCAACTCCAACCTGGTGGAATTTAGCCACAACTATGACAAGTAGCAGTTGAGAAAGCAGCTGAAGAATTCCAGAGAGTGACTTGGGCAGAAACAAAAGGAAGCAGAGATGGCAGAGACAAGCAAAGATGGTGGAAGCAGAGAAAGCCAAAGACCGCAAAGAGCTGAGGCGAAAGAAAGCCAGAAGGCTGTAAAGAACCAGGGAAGAGAAACTTGGCCCTGGGTACTGGAAGAGCTCCAGGGAAGCCACGCCAAGAAAGAAATGATTCAAGAGATCTAACACTAGCCACTGTCAAGGTCTAAGTGTTTAGATATTCTGGGCCTGACACCTGTAGCACGTGCTGCTATATAGCTGGCAATGGAAGCAACTGAAGACTGCGTAGGAGCTCTAACACTCGTGAATGCCCTGCTGCTGCGGCTGTCCATACTGCTCTTCACTGCCGCTGGAAGCTGAGAATTTATCATAGCACCAAGTGCCAAGGTCATCATAATTGAAGGCTAGAGTGATAAACCTCCAAACTAAGTTCCTAGACGCATTAATCTCTGGTTTCTAAAGCCAGAACAGCAGGCCTCCTACCTCTCAGGGATTTGAACTGTGAGCTTAGGCTTACCAGTGAAGTTCCTAGGATCTTAGCATGCTCTGTTAATCTCCCCTGGTTCCTATCTGGTAAGCAAAAAGACTGTGACAATCTGATTGGTAATACTTTGAGATGCTTTGCAGACATGATGGATAAAATCAAGGTAGCAATTTCCATGATATGTCTCATTTAACCTATAAGGACTCAGTGTTAGAGGACTACCATAATCATTTTTATGATACTGACAGCCAGGAATATTATTTGTCCTAGATCGTACAGCTAGTAACAGGCCCAACAAGGTTGCCTTTTATGAGGTCTGACTCCAGAGGATACATTCCTGTTTGCTAAAAGGCTCCTTTGTAAATTTAACAGAGATGGGATGGATGAGCATTGCTTTCCTATGTACTTCAGTAGATTATTTACATGTCAGAGGATAAATCATGAGTCCTTGGCTTCTAAGAAATTGTATCCCAATTTGCTTTGTAAATCTTACACAGTGAAAACAGTTCACTACGGTGAAGGCAGTTGCCAAGACAACAAATGGACAGCAGCTGGCTGAGTAGAGCTGAGAACAAAACCATGTGGAGGTCTAAGGCTTAGCAGAAAAGGTGAGTGACTGACAAAGGACCCAGAAGATCCCTACCTGCCCCCCACGCATCCAAGTTCTCTTACTTTGAATCTGCAAATGTTGTTTCCAGTTAATGACTTCTGGTAGGCCAAGGAATTCCTGGCATTTCTTAAGATCCTGGGTGAAGATTAGGTATGTATTAGTGTAATGGTCCAAGTCATCTGACATTTCCTGTTTGGGTTAAGAAAGAGAAGCAACTAAAATGTTTGCTGATGCTAATAGCTATACTAGTCTTCAGTATCCCATTGTATTATTATATTTTAAGATATGAAAAATAATAGTATTTTCTGCTGGCTTTTTATTTAACCTTTTCATAAAAGTTATTTACATTGTAAAGTCAAACACTTCTTTATTCAGTTCAAAATGTAAAAATATCCCGAGAAAAACCTATCCCTAATTCAGCTGCTGCGTTTAAATGTCAGAAACAAACCCATTTAAAATCATTATTCTGTACTTCCAAAAAAAAAAAAAAAACCCATACAAGTAAAAAACATCAAATATCAACTGTAAAGCAAAAACCTCGGCCAAATCAATGTTCTCCTCTGGCCTCTGAGTGGTTTGTGATTAAAATCCATAGGGAAGAGGACTCGAGTATGCATTGCAGATAATGAAATCAAAGAAAAAGCTGAGGAAGTAGCCATTTCTTTACATAAAATTATAGAGCATGAACTATACTTGCGGTTAAATGAACTATAATTCTATCAAGAAAATGAACTTATTGATACATACACATACATATGCTCTTACTATAGCAAAATTTCAGGATCTTTAATTGGCATGGCCTTTACTGGTTGCTTCTAATTCTCATAAACTAAATATAAGAAATTACACTCCCTCCTCACCCCATCCCCCCAAAAAAGAAGTTTGATATTCAGCATCATCAAATCCTGGCTGAGGAGAACAATGTTAAAACAACAAAGCTGGGAGCTGGTGGCTCACGCCTGCAATCCTAGCTACTCAGGAGGCTGAGATCTGAGGATACAGGTTTAAAGCCAGCCCAGGCAGGAAAGTCCGTGAGACTCTTATCTCCAATAAACCACTAGAAAACCGGAAGTGGAGCAGTGGCCCAAGTGGTAGAATGCTAGCCTTGAGCTAAAAAGCTGAGGGACAGCATTCAGGCCCAGAATTCAAGCCTCATGACCGACAAAAAATTAAAAAATAAAATAAAATGAATGTGAAATGTTCCCCATATACTTTTAATCAAGTTTCTCTGTGCAGTACTGGCATGTCATGTTTATGCTTCTGCTCCTGCACATTTCAAACCACGCTGTAATTTATCTGTAGATTTCTCTGCATTCTTCTTCCCACCCTGAGAAAATGGAGGACAGGGTCTTGTTGGCATCATGATGCTTCATGTATGTTTCCCTGGGATCTACCATGATGCCAGGCACATAGCAGACACATAGCAGACTTGAACAGAGAGGAATATTTATTCATTCCACCTTTGGCAACTGACCTGATCCTGAGGACGAATAACCACTGTGCTAAAATCAGGCCACTTGTCCACCAGGGCCTTGAGCTTGAATGGATTTCCTTGTTTCATATGGAAGAGGGTACCATAAACCTGTAACATTTCAATAAAACGGGAGGGTCAGCACCCAGCAGAGATGGAAAAGCGCTTTGAATTTGACCATGGTTAGGGTCACATCTATGAAATGATGGTCCTAAACAATCCTTAATCCTAACATTTTGTCTTTGAAAAGTATTAACTCTCGGTTGAAATAATGGAGAAAAATGACATCTGGAGGCTGGTAGGGTAGTAGATGCCTGTAACCCCAACACTCAGGAAACTGAGGCAGAAGGATCACCACACCAGCTTTGGCCCTGTCCTCAAAAGTCTTGTGTTTCCTGGGTTTTGTTTTTTTAGTGGAGTAAAAAAGTACAGCCTAAAAACCACTTGACATTGACATAGACTAGATAACCTACTTTCATAAAAACTTTCATAATTCAAAGGCTCATGGGTTAAAGCCTAGGGTGTCAGCTGGTGGCACTATTTGGAAGCAGCTCTGGAAACTTTTGGGGGTGAGTCTTCCCTGGAAGAAAGAGTTTACTGGGGGGAGGCCCTCATCCTTGGCCCCTCCCTGTATTCCTCTTGATGTGTCCTGACCATCAAAGCATGGAGTGTCCCGAGTGTCCCTGTCCCATGTTCCTGCTGCCCTGATATCGTGCATATGTGCCAGGTTACCATGGACTGATCCTGATGGAAGTATGAGCCAATGTAAGTCTCTTTCCGTAAGATGTTTCTGCCAGTTATTTGGTCCCAACAAGAAGAAAGTTTACAGAATGTTAACCACCTGTACACTTACTCTGTCCTCATTACAAGACTGGAAATTTATGGTCTCTTAAACACTAATTATTGCCTATCTCTTTAGTATTCTTTTTGTTGGACTGTTATACTTTGCATTCAATGTTACCTACATTTCTTAAAAAAAAAAAAAAGAAGCAGATCATTTAGAAACTAGGTTTTTTTTTCAGTCCTGGAATCAAACAAAAACAAAAACACCACATCTTGAAATATGCAAACTAAAAGAAATACTGTACTAAGAGGGATATCTTTTTAATCAGTCCTGGGGCTTGACCTCAGTGAGCGCTGTCCCGGGGATTTTTTGCTTAAGGCTAGCTTTCTACTATTTGATCCTCACTTCTGCTTTTTGAAGATAAGAGTCCCAGGGATTTTCCTGCCCCAACTGGCTTCAAATTTCAATCCTCAGATCTCAGCTTCCTGAGTAGCTAGAATTTTGGCAACCATTACAGTGCCCAGTGTAAGAGTGAATTTTATAGTATTAAGTACCCACATTGAAAAAAAAGAGAGAGAACTTGATAATTTAATAATGTATTTCAAGGTTTTAGGGGAAAAACAGTAGCCTAACTGAAAATGAATAGGAGTAGGAATATAAAAATGATCAGAGAAAACTGAATAAATAAAAATAGAGGCAATAAAAGAATAATACAAAGGATAAAGAGAACTAAAAGGTGGCCCTCTGAAAAAAAATGGAACAAGAAAAGTAAATAAGAAAGAAAAGATAAATGAAAAGATAGTAAAAAAATACAAAACTATTTTTGTAGTGAACTACTGAATAATATATAATCATTTTCAGGTCTGCCTTTTATATAACACACAATCTCTTATGAGCTTTTGGTGAAATACGAGTGGATTGCTTACATGTTTTGAGCAGTTCCATGGCACAGATACCTGGTACAACTGTTTAAAAATTAGCTTGTAATTAAATATCCATTTGAAGGGAAATCTGGGAGAAATCCAATGTCATTGTGAAACTTTCTTTGAAAGCAAAGAATGCCATGCACTGATGAGTCAGCAAGACTTTTCCATTTCTTAATACCAGGCAAATGTCATTGCTAAGGTATGTTTTCTTTGGGGAGACATGAACATACGGTGCTTCTGTTCAAATAAGTGATGTGGACAAAATGAGATGAAGCCTGAGTAAGTTCCCAACAAAGCATAGGTGCTCAGTAAAAGACATTTCCTTTCGCTCCGCTGGCATAGGAAGACACAGAGGCCTTTGTTTCCACCCTCACCTTGATGGATTCAGGGATGTGCTTTCTCAAGGAGTTCTCCAGCATCTGCAGCTTCTGGGAACTCTGCAAGTGGAACATCTTGGCAGGCACCTTAATGTGATGACAAAGGCGAAAGCGTGGGAAGGGACTCATCATAGTCTGTTTGGATTGACATAACCCAATACCAGGAATGGATGTAGGACAAGCAACAGGCACTTATTTATCGCAGTTCTGGAGACTGAGAAATCCAAGATCAACAGACCTTTAAGATGACTGCTGTGAAGTTTTTGGATATCAGACAGTTTATGGTTATCAGTTTTTGTGACAGGTCAGTTGATGGAGCTTCATTTGGTGGCATCATGCCTTTCTGGGTTTTTAGAGATCTTTATGGGTTTGCACTGGTGTCTGTGCATTGGAGGAGAAGGGGAAAAGTGATTTTGAGGCCAACCTTGTGAATGACTATAATATCTGCAAATCATATAAGGTGAGACCAACCATGAGTGAGCATGCACACACACATACACACAGGAGAAAAAAAGCTTTTTAAAGAAGAAAACACACATACATACACATAGCAAAAAATACAAGCTATAAGGAAACATGATGCCAGAATGATAAGAGTCTTTTGAAAGTGAAGAATCTGCACAAATAGGAGGCTGCTACATGGTCAATGGGCCAAGTGCATTGTGGATTTTGGATATTTTAGACCCAGTTCCTGGAAATGTATCCATGGAAAACAGTTCCATGAACATAAAATTTATAACAAAAACTTTATATCTGCTTCAAAAATGTGATTGTATAATTATGAAGTAACTCTCTCAACTATAAGGAATTTTTTTACCTAGTATGATACATATACATGTAAAAGAGCATTGAAATAACAGAAGAAAATTAAACAGTACATCGTTTGACTAGATAATAGAAATCATTGTTTCCACAAGTATGGAAAATGGAAGGACATAGAAACATCAGGTTAGAAGGAGAAAAAACTACCTACAATTTATGAAGTACCAGATTATAGCATTGTTGATAAAAATCACTTAAGCTTTTCCAGGCAATCTAATAGAACAACAAATCTAATGTATATTATTATTCCTATTTTTCTATATAATTTGTCTTGTTAGAATAAGATATTTCACTTTCCCAGGTAACAATTAGCCAGCCTTTCTTTGAGTATCTCCTCAAGGAGCAGAGAGAACGTTATTTGCATGTCATCTGCACTGAATAAATATTACCCAGGTCAGCATTCTTCTTTGCACATGTTATCACCTCTCAAGCACCGGACAACTTCCCAAATCTCCCTCTACTGCTTAGCTGTTTAGAATAGAAACCTGACTCAGTCCTTCCAAGATCTCTCCCAGGAGGCATACCGATGGTACAAGTATGTTTTCAGTTCAATAAACTCCCCTTCCCAGAGCCTAAGTCTCCATTGCAAAGCTCAGCACTTTCTGTCTAAAACCAACATGTTATTTTTTCCTACCTTGCTGAGTGAGAGAAAGGATAGAGTCACAAAACAGTGTTTCCACCTACAAGACAGGACTTGTCCTTTCCTGGAACTGTCCACAGCCGTTCCAAGGAGAAAATCACAAACCAGAAACTGCACGAAGACGTAATTGTCTCTTTAGTCAGATATATAGAACTAGGATTGTTCTAATGAGAGATATCTGTAAATTTTTTACAGATATTCCTAAGTGCAAGGTATTTATGTAGACCTTGCTCTTCTAAACTACAAAACAACAAAACAAAACAAAAAAATCTGCTGGCTAGTGTTGGATTCGTTGGCACCTGTACCTTCCCCAAGGGCATGTGGTTTAAGGAGCAGAGTATGCACATTTGGGAAGCTGCTTGCACACTCTTAGTCCTTCTTTCCAGACCATCAGTTTGTTCTGGCTTCTATCTGCAGAAGAACAGCAGACTGAGAACAGGAAAGGAGATGTTGTTGTGTAGGGAATACATCTTCCTTCCTTCCTTCCTTCCTTCCTTCCTTCCTTCCTTCCTTCCTTCCGTCCTTCCTAGTTACCTGTTGTAGGAGCAAGATGGAAACCAGAGGCACTGAGTAAAATTCATTTCTGTAAATCTATATATAATATGTAAATATATAATATATTACAAGAATTTCATATATAAACCTATATATTTTATAATGTAATTAATATATTATTATATATTAATAATATAATATATAATGTAATATAGTTTATAATGTAATATTAAAATATATATAACAACACAATTAACATTATATAATATAATGATAAATAATATTACATAAACTAATTAATATAATACAATAATTAATATGTTATCAATATTATGTAACATATTGTTATATAACATGTTATAAATTTATTATATACATTTATAAATTTATATAAAATTATAATATAATTATATTATGTATTATATATCATATAAATATAATACATTACATATAATTAATCTATATTATAATATGTGATATAATTTAAAATATCAATATAACACTGTTATATAACCTTGTATATTAATGATAATATATAATACTATATAATAAATATAATACTTCATACATATATATAGAGAGAGAGAAAGAGAGAGAGAGCAAAGTGATTACTACATAGAAGGTTTCCACCCCATTTCTACCATGCATTCTTTCCCTTATTTCCGTGCGCCTAGTTTAAATGGCCCAATGGCACGGGCTGACCAGGAGCTGGTCATCCACCTGCCTCAGTTGTCTGAGTACAGGCATACAGATGTGCACCACCATTCGAGGCTCACGCCACTCTCATACTAGCCCAGGACACTGCAGCTGAGAGTCGGCGACTGCGCCCTGCTTGATAGCATAGCATCCTCTATTTATAGGGGGAGACAGGGTTTCGTCTCAGAGGGCTGTCATGCACCCTCAGCCAAAGAATGCACTTTCTTCTCTGCAGTGGATGAGTTAATGGAAAAGTATTTTCTGTCTCCATTCTTGATATTTTTTTTAATACCAAGAAGGAATTGTGCCTGTCAGGACTTTGAATATTTCAATTCTTTTTTGGGGTTTTACATATTATTTAGTAATCTCATGATGGGTAGAAGAATAAGAACCCAATTGTGATCACATAGAGTGGCCAAACACAATGTTCTGGAAAGTTTTTTTTTTCCTTCTAGATTTAGCTTTGTCTCTACAACTGTTGTAAGCCAAGTACAATATGTTTCTGTAAATAAAGCTTTTTTTTAAATAATCACATCATCTATTTATATATTGTCTATACTGACTTTTCACACGGCTGGTTTGACCCACCAGCCTAAAACATTTACGCCTTTGATCTTCCCCCCAAAAAATCACTTTCTAACTATGCAATTAGTGAGCAGGGAGAAACTGGGAGACAGTGAAGGAAAGGGTGACATTGTCCAAAAAGAAATGTCCTCATTACCTGACTTAGGATATGGTCATCCTTCTATAAAACACCTTAATAATAACAATAAAATTATATTAAAAAAATAAAAAACAAAATTAAGAAGAGTGAGGGAAGGGAGAATAGAAGGGATTGGTGAGAACGTTGAAAGGGATGGCGTTGATAAAGATATATCGTATTTGTAAACTTTGTTAAATGGCAAGTCCTTTGGACAGCTACTTAAAGACAGTTTAAAAAAATCATTTTCTTAATTCTGCCCTAAAATTTACCTCCTGTAGCTCAAACCATCTTGTGGATTCATCTCAGACAAAGAACACAGAAACATCCCCTCCAGCACAGAAGGCAGAACTCCTATGGGAGGTGGGCACAGTTCCCGGTTTCAACAGAGCCTCTGTGACATAAAAAGCTGATCTGGGCAACAGATGGAAGTCATGGCAGTCCCTCTATCTGGGACCCCTCCCTCTCACTCCTTCACACACTAACCTACAAGAGTCTCAGTCATCACCTGGAGGAAAGCCCATGGGTCTGTCGGAGGCTAGGTTGACTTTTACTCCTCTTTAGATGGTGATGGTTTCAGAGACCTTTGGTGTGAAACCATGAACGTTTGGATGTGGTTGCCTTATCATAGATTCCCACAGGTGAAATAAGGGAGGGAAAATACCACACACAAGACCAATCCATTATTCTAAAACTGTGAAAGTCAAAAACTATAAATGTGTTGCATGTGACTATTCAGATTGAAGAGCTGTGTTTTATGTTATCCAATGGGTTAGACAAAGATAGATGGCCAACAGGAGTCCCTCAGAGAGAGCCGATACACCCAGACAGCCAGGCAGACTAGCCTTCAGCTGTCGATCCTTTCAAATGCTCTTAAAAGACACACAGCCTTCTGAAGAATCAGAGATGCTCCCCTGGAATTACCTAAATAGAATCCCCACAGTATTAACCTGGCCACTGAGGAACTTTACTCTTCTATATCATAAGAGGCAAGGGAGTCCTTAGGGTGAGGCTAAATTCCCTGATGCTACAAGTTTTCAGGTAAAACTTTCAGGAAAAAACTTTCATTTTTTCCATGAAAGATTTTACTGGGTCATGGGAATATTTATATATACAAGGACATTTTTTTTCTTTTGTTAAATATGTGTACTGTGTTTCAATTCAGTTTGCAAGTCCAATGTTATTTTATTATAAGTGACTGGGAAAAAATATTGTTAGGGTAAGTTTCAGATGACATATCTTTAGAAGCCCTCTTCTCTAGGCTACAGCTGTGGGATCTTCTATTGTTTTATGGACAATGACAAAAGACTTCTAGTGTTGGGCTTCTGAGATTTGATTGGTAGTACTACTGCAAAGAAAATACCTGTTATTCATTGGCAGAGTGCTAGAATGGCTGAACTTGAATGGGTTATGCGATCAGGTTAATGAATAAGATTTTATAACAAGCGAACTAAGATGTTATTGAAAAGATGTGACAAAAGTATTGTTCAGCCAACTCCATGAATTTCTATCAAACCTTCCTAAAGAGGTTCACTAACTAGAATTACCATGAAAAATAATAATAATCTTACTAGTCTCAACTGAACAGATAGCCATTCTAGTACTGAAGAGCTGATTTTTTTTAATACAGAATACACTCACAATTCAAAGTACCACCTGCATTTTAAAAGTCACCTTAAAATTTGTATTTCAGTTTTGAATTTCAGTAATATAAGTTTTTGGTACTTAGTATATATTGAGAATGGTATATTTTTGTAGCAAACCCATTTGGTGCATAATAACAGTTATTTCAGTACATGAGTTCATGTATCTATGGCTCTCTTGAAGGACTCTTGGGTTCTTCCTAATTTTATGTGATTGTGAATGAAGTTGGATTTTTTCTTCTTTTTTAAAAAAACTTTATTTTTTTATTGTAAAGATACTGCACCAGAGGGGTTACCGTTACATGAGTAAGGTAATGAGTACATTTCCTATTGAGCATTGTTACCCCTCCTTTGTTTTTCCCCTACCATCTTTTCCCTCCCCATCACCCCAACTCCTCCCTCCCACGGAAGTTGTAAAGTTCATTTTCAACATAATGTCTTATACATCTCATTGTTACAATGGGTCAACCTGTATCCTTATTTCAGCATTTTGTTATTTTCCTTCCCCTTCCCAAATTAGAATATATATATATATATATATATATTATATATGATGCAGGGCACCGGAATCAAATACAGTGAACACAGGGGTTATACCATGGGGGAAGAACATACAAAAGAAACAAAAAAAATCACATAGTACATTATAAGTACATTTTAAAACAACAGAAAGAAAGACAAAACCTCTTGTGTCCCTATCTTGGGGTTCATTTCACTTAACATCATCTTATATTGTCATATGTACATAGCTTTTGAACTTTTTTGCTTGTCCTAGACATATACTAGTTATTGCAAATAAGGGAAACCATAGTACCTATGTTTCTTTTGGGCCTAGCTTACTTCACTTAATATAATTTTTATAAGTGTTTCTATTTCCTAACAAATGGGACAATGTCATTCTTTCTGATAGAGACATGGAATTCCAGTGTGTGTGTGTGTGTGTGTGTGTGTGTGTGTGTGTGTGTGTATACCACATTTTCTTGATCCATTCATCTATGAAGGGCATCTGGGTTGGTTCCATATCTTAGCTATGGTGAATAATGCTGTGATAAACATAGTTGTGCTGGCAGCTTTAGGATGGCCTTGTTTGTGATTGGGTAAATCCCAGAAGTGGGATTGCTGGGTCATAGGGGAGCTCTATGTGGAGTCTTTTGAGGAACTTCCATACTGCTTTCTAAATGGCTGAACAAGTTTATACTCCCACCAACAATGCAGTAGGGTTCCTTTTTGGCCACATTCCCTCCAGCATCTGTTGTTATTAGATTTCTTGATTATAGCCATTCTAACTGGGGTGAGGTAGAATCTCAATGTTGTTTTGACTTGCATTTCTTTTGTGGCTAGAGAAGTTGAGCATTTCTTCATGTGTCTATTGGCCATGACGCTGTTTTTATCATAAATTCACAAAGATATGAATCTTTGTGTGGCCAAACATGAATCTTCTTTGTCTCATAAAGTATGAGTTCAACAGTTAACCCCCAATGATAAATGAAAAGAAAATTGGTATGTAACAATTGTTGGTCAATTATCTTGTCATGTTTTAGCATGAGATGAATCAGAATGAAATACCTTGTTAACCACTGCTGCCAAGAAAAGGCTGAATGCACAGAAAAATGTTCTTTGTTGGAGGACATAGTGCCATCCTGCCCTTCATGAATGGTTAACTAAACTGTTCAGTTTCACTGGTTAGCTAAACTGTTCAACTTCACTGGTTCTCAGGGCAAAGATTCTCTTACCAAATTCAAATTCAGTTGAACTTTAACACACAATCAACCTGAATCAGAGCTGGAATATAGAGAAATCCACTGTATCATAAAGAAGGAAAGGTAGATACTTCCCTACTTTTACTTTTCCTGTCCACTTCTCAGGTGTCATTTGATATTATGGTCTGAAAACTCTCCTTACTGAAATAGCCTGTCCATTCCCTATGCAAGAGTTCCTTCTTCCATCTTTCCATAATCTTTTATTTTTATTTTTTATTTTTTTATTTTTTTTTGCTGGTTATGGGACCTGAATTTTAGGCCTGGGCGCTGTCCCTGGGCTCTTCAGCTCAAGGTGAGCACTCTACCACTTGAGCCACAACACCACTTCCGGCTTTTTCTGCTTATGTGGTGCTGAAAAATTGAACCCAGGGCCTCATGTATGCAAGGCAAGCACTCTACCTCTGAGCCACCTTCCCAGCCCTCCATAATCTTTTAAATAAAGCTCCCCCCTTTCCAAATCAAGAGTGGTTTCATCATTAAAAACTATTTTGAAGCTAGGCATACCTATGGCTCATGTTTGTAGTGCTAGCTACTCAGGAGGCTGAGATCTGAGGATCACAGTTTGAACCCGGCCAGGGCAGGAAAGTCGGAAAGTCTATGAGACTCTTATCTCCAATTAACTACCAAGAGAACTGAAAGTGGGTCTGTGGTTCAAGTGGTAGAGTGCTAACCTTGAGTAAAACAGTTCAGGGACAAGTACAAGCCCTCAGTTCAAGCCCAAGACAGAATGTATGTAGATATACACACATATGTGTGTTTATATATGTATGTATGTATGTATATATATATATATATATACATATATATATATATATATGTATGTATGTATGTATATACTGCTCCACACCAAATTTCCAGTTCTTTAATGCCTAGGGAACTAAACCTCAGCCACTATTTTGGGAGTTGATGAGAATTAGGTGGGATTTTCTCTCTAATTCCGTAGCTTCATTGCAGCTTTTGGGTCAAACATAATGGGACACGTTTTAAACACAGGTCTCAACCTTCCTTCATTCCAGAACAATCCAGACATGTTGATGAGGAGTGCTTCACGACACAAGCATCTGAACTTTACAGAGCCTGAGCCTTCTGAAGCGATATGGCAGAGTCCATGAGGCCTTCTACCCTGTACTCTGCCCCTCAGAACTGTCTACCCTGTACTCTGCCCCTCAGAACTGTCTACCCTTCTCTCTGGGTCTGGGTGCTCTCATTTTCTACTCTCCACATGCCCACCCTGAATTCTCCCAATCTACACTGCTCAGCATGTGCTGGTATGATCAAGCCCCAAACTTGACTGCTGTGAAGCTTCAAGGGATTAGGAGATTCGGCCTTTCGAAGCAACATACAAGATCCTTTTCCCTGGTGTGGGAGCTAGGAAGGAACTAGTATAGTCAGTTTGTCTTTTCTTTTTCCTAGTTAACTGTCCTTGCTATGTCATGTAAATTCTGTTTCATCTAATATCCCCAATAATTTATGTATTTAGCATGCTGACTAAGCAGAAGATCGAGCAGAGGCTCCTCTTAAAGACTTAATGAGGACAGAACACCTGCTGGTCTCTAAAGAAGCCATAATGGCCAGATACTATTAGCTCTTTATCCCTAGCAAAATTAGAAGACGTTTCCCTACCCCTGGGCTAGGTGCTCCAGGGAAGCAATTAGGCACATTTTGTAGTAGATGAAGGAATGTGGTAGAGATCCTAGAAGGACAGGATCTAGGCCAGATTCAAGTGTTTAGGTACCATCTTAACCATTGCTGCTAAGGGAAATCCAGCAGCTGTCTAAAAGCAGGGATCACGAGGTTCCATTTACACGGCTAAACCCATCCCAAACAGCATCCACTCCTTTGCTAATGATTCCATTTATTTCACTCCTCCAGTGACACACCCAGGCATAATGCCTTGTGTCTAAAGACAGCATCACAGAGGAGAACACACCCACTGGTTCCAGTGACAGGGCATGAGGATATGGTGTAGAGCATCGCTCATTTTTTGCATAGCTTTGTTTTTCCTGTCTGTGTGAGAATAACCCGGGAAGCCGAGTTTGTTCATAGTCTGCACCTGTGAATAGACAGCATAGGAGACCAGACCCTGGGCCCGATACTCAGTCAGAGTGCCTCCCATTCGTATCTCTCCAGTCTGGTCCATTAATGTCCAGGATACAGGGGTTCCCTCAGGTCCCAAGACACAGGAGCTCGGGAAGCTCCGTAAACATCGCGCGATGAACTTCTGGCTCTTCTCATTGCCGCCATAAGACCAAAATTTATCCACCATGGCAGCATGAGTCTCATCCAAGGAGGAGAGTTTAAACATGTCTTGATTGCTATGGAAAGAAAGAAAGCAAAATATAGGAGCAGAAGGGTGTGTATTTTTTCTTACCTCTATTAGCTTGAATGAGAAGAATAGGGTACCCAGCAAATGTTCAGTCCTGGAGTATGGAGGAGCAGATGATGATAAAGGAACGTAAAGCTGTGGATGAAGTAAGTGAACAGGAATAAATATGGCTGATGTCAAGACAGAGTGGTTTGTTTCTGATGAGAAGGAAGGTGGGAAAGGCTTTTAAGTAGACAGGAGCATGGTCTGAACTTTATCCTTTAAAAAATAAATGCCAGTCCTGAAGCTTGAACTCAAAACCTCACACTCTCATCTGGCTTTTTCCTCTCAAGGCTGGTGCTCCACCACTTGAGCTATTTTGGCCTTGGTTAACTGGAATTAAGAGTTTTATAGACTTTTATGCCCAGGCTGGCTTCAAAATGCAATCCTCAGATCTCAGCCTTCTGACTAGCTAAGGGTGTAGGTGTGAACTATCAGAGCTCTAGCTCTGAGTTATACTTTTTAAAAAGATTATTCTAAGCTGGGCACCGGTGGCTCATGCCTATAATCCTAACTACTCAGGAAGCTGAGATCTGATGGTTCAGAGCCTTCCTGGGCAGGAAAGTCCACAAGACTCGTATCTCCACTAAACTACGCAGGAAAAGCTAGAAGTGGCACTGTGGCTCAAGTGGTAGAGCATACTAGCCTTGAGTACAAAGAGACGCAGGGACAGAACCAAGGCCCTGAGTTCAAGCCCCAGGAATGGTCTTTCTCTCTCTCTCTTTCTCTCTCTATGTGTGTATTGTGTATGTGTATGTATGTATGTATAATTAATTCCAATTGCTTTATATTCTTGTTAAAAAGCCAGATTGAAATTCGGTAGTGGGAGTTCAGTGAGGAGGGGTGAGTAGTACTGAATGGATTTCATCACACTCACATGGCCTTTGGCTTGCCACCAGTGGGTGGTAAATTCTTTGTGTCCATCAGAGAAGGAATCAGTTTGTTGACTGTCTCCGACGTCATATATAGAAGGTTATTTGAATAGGTGACTTTGAAAGATTTAATGGTTGCAAAGTTTTGTATCACTTCATCCAGGCTGGACTGCGTACCTAGATGGATTTATAAGGCAATGCATTATGAGTTCATAAGGAGACACATAAGGGTTTAAATACAGTCCAGGGAGGAGCTTTCAATGGAGGAGAAAGTGTCATTAGATTTAAGTGAGAAAACCTTATCGTCACATAGTTGAGGTTTATATAATTTTCCTGTCATGCATAAATTTAAACACACACACACACACACACACACACACACACACACACACACACACCAGCTGGGCACCAGTGGCTCAAGCCTATAATACTAGCTACTCGTGAGGCAGAGATCTGAGGATCACAGTTCAATACCAGCCCAGGCGGGAAAGTCTGTGAGACTCTTATCTCCAATTAACCATCAAAAAACCAGAAGTGGTGCTAGGGCTCAAATGGTAAACTGCTCATCTTGAGCTGAAGAGCTCAGGGACAGTGCTCAGGCCCAGAGTTCAAGCCCCATGACTAACCAAAAACCAAAACAAGCAAGAAAATTACATCAAAAAAACATCATTCAGAGTCATGTTTTTAGTGGCCATTCAAAGGCTAGCACTGAGTTTTCTGGACTACACAATCGTGTCATTTTGAACATCAAAGACGATGTATTATAAAAAAAAAAATAGTAGCGAGTATCTACCGAGCCCAATTCTCTGTGTGATAGATTGTTGCAGTAATGAGTCACAATGTAGCCATATTCCATATAGCTACTCCCTGGATACATCTTTGCATTCCATCTGACCTGGGCTGTGTGACTTGCATTCACCAGTGCCAAGAGTAATCACAATGCAGGGAGAGCCTTAAAAGTGTTGTCCCTTGGAACTTTGCCCGTTTTTCCCTTTGGTAATCTTGAGACCTGCATTACAAACATGGACCTAAGCTAGCATGCTGGAGACACAGGTCATCATCATGTTTTCATCACTGCCAACAACTAGCCTTGACTGACAGTCTGGACCACCATTCAGATGTGTGACTGAGGCCACCACAAAGCAATCAGGGTTGAGTCCATCAACTGCCTGCGTATATCCTGAGTTACCAGCCGAGAAACTGCCTATGGAGTCCAATGGATTGATACAGTTAATGATGATGTGTGCTATGCAAGAGTTACTAACTGGAACCTCCCATTAGCAGACACTAAACTCTTCCTCCTCACATCATTTAATTTGTCACTTGACTTTGCTTTTTAGGCATTGTGCTAATGACATTATGACCCTTGATTTTTACACAGGTCACCTCGATAAAGTTGTATATGGAGATGGTGTCTTAGAGAGCATGCTTGTAATCTTGACAATGAGTATGATCTGGGAGGTGATCTGGGACACAATGAGCTGTCATTCTTACTCCGGAATGGGAGGACAGTGGAGAATCACTCTTCTAGCACTCAATCATCCTATGGATTCTGGATATAGTTGAAAAGCAGGCCATAAACTCTTGGCAATGGGGCCAGGTGCCGGGGGCTCACGCCTGTAATCCTAGCTACTCAGGAGGCTGAGATCTGAGGATCATGGTTCAAAGCCAGTCCAGGCAGGAAAGTCCATGAGACTCTTATCTCCAATAAACCATTCGAAAACTGGAAGTAGAGCTGTGGCTCAAGAGGTAGAGCACTAGCCTTGAGCTGAAGAGGGCAGGGACAGCGCCCAGGCCCAGAGTTCAAGCCCCACGACCGACCAAAAAAAGAAAAAAGAAACTCTTGGCAATGGGAATTTTTGTGCCTCTGTATGAAACCCATTCTGTGCAGTATTTGAAGATTCTACAGGCACACACACACACACACACACACTTTGTAGACAGAGATGAAGCTGAAACTGAACATGGACTGCGAGTTATGGATCCAGAGCTTAGCAGAAAGAAATAACGCAGAGAGGCCACCAGGCTACATCAAGTGAGCTAGTATGCATCTTGTTCCCCCTTACTTTGAATCTGAAAGTGCTGTCTCCAATTGATGACGTCTGGAGAGTCCAGGAATTCCTGACAGTTTTGAGGGTGCTTGGAGTAGATCTGGTAAGTATTGGTGTAGTGATCATGGTCATCTGTCATCGCCTGCAATCATTTGGAAAGGGAGTATAAAACGCCTTCCTTTTAATTTTTGATTGTATCGCTATATGGTTGGACATTGTACATCATGTAACAAAAATACTGGGACTTCCATTGGTGGAGTAGAATTCTTTTGGAGTCATAAATCATGAGCTGAGAGATCTGAGCATCCAACAAGATTATGTACTATGCATATATTACATAAGCATTGCAAATCAAAGTCACAGCTATATGTTAATCATCCTCAATGTGAAGAAAAGTAGCTGAGGAAGGAAAATTTCTGTTGCACGTAAAAAAAGTTTATAATTCAAATGCTTGAAGAACACATGAACTATGTTCACGATGGTATTAAATTTGATACATATAACTGAATTAAAATCTGTAGCTATGTATAATAAAAACCAAAGATGAAAACCAATTAGAAAAGCTTTCTTTGAAAACTGTGTGAATTATTCTTGGAAGAAAGGAAACAAAATATTCAAAGGATACATTCAATGTATTAAATTCCAGATAAAATTATTTTGACAAAAGAAGTAGAAACAAATAGTGCCATCACTAAGATAGAAATGTAATTCTTTTTGAAGATCATTGTGAAATGCTGCACAAAAATATAATCCCAAGACAGCAGTGTATTTTCTTGGTCAAGATCATTTATGAAAGATCCAATCATTTTATTTCAGTACAAGTTTGACTATGAATGTGAATTTACTTAATCTGTTCTTCAGTGTGGTGATTTTTCAGTGTCTTGAATTCATATTAGTTATAATACCATATTTGTATTTTTATGTTCTACTCGTTTTTATTTCATACCTTTTTAAAGTTTGTAATTGACTTTTTTCAAGCCATAGGCAAAATTGGAAGTATTCATCATCTACACATTTTAAAATATAGTGCTGCATTTTTTAACAGTGGGAATGTGTTTTGAGAAATGAGTAAAGTGATTTGCCACATCACACAATATCACATGTTGTGTTTATACAAAATCAAATGGATCCCATGTCACTAGGTAATATGTTCTGATGGGACCAGTGGATGTGGCCCATCATTGACTGAGAAGTCATTATGCAACTCAAAGCTGTTTGTGTACATTGTGGAATATATAAGTCTAGCTCTAAGTAGTTTATACTTTTCTGCACAGTTATGAATTTTCTGAAGAGAATATTTTATATCCACACCATATTTTCCAAGAACAAAACACCTCTTAACTAGCGTCACCACGCTATACTGCGTGTGTCTTAATCCTGTGATTCTTAATTAACTGTAATTTTTTTCCTTGTTGGTTGTGGGGCTTGAACTCAGGGATAGGGCGCTGTCCCTGTGTTTTTCGCTTAAGGCTAGTAGCAGTGCCATTTCCGGCTTTCTGGTGGTTAATTGGAGATGAGTCTCACAGACTCTTACCCTGGTTGGCTTAGAACTATGATCCTCACATCTCAGTCTCCTGAGTAGCTAAGATTACAGACACAAGCCACCAGGGCTGTAACTGTAATTTTGTATCCTAACATTATTCTAGTCTTCTACAAATGCTCCAACCTCTGATAACTACCATATTCTCTCTGCTTCTGTGAGATCTCAGTGAGTACCAATGCCCTTTAATGCCATTAACACACACTAAAATTAAAGCTAAATGAATGGTAAATCAGCTGTCTTCGGAGGCAGTGTGAAGAGGAAGGGCCAATGGAAAGGGTGAAGGAAGGTGAATGTGTTTGAAATACTTTCTTGGCATATGTGAAAACAGAACAATGAAACCTGTTGAAATCATTTTAGAAAGGAGAGAGAAGGTAGAGGGGTGGGTTTGATCTGGACATAGACATGCGTGTCACAATGAAATTAGCTCTTGTACAACTAATGTGTACCAGTTTGTTATCAATCCTCAAAAACAAGATCATGGCGTTTTATCTGTGAATAATTGTATTAACTACATAGCTTCATCAATTTTAAGTCTTTCTCCTTTGTTGCGTTTGGAAATTCCAGCCTTGTAGCTCAGCCCTTTGTTGCAGCCTCTCTCCCTGCCCTGTGTTCTTTTTGCTCTTTCCAGGATCTCCCATTTGAAGGTACACATCCCCCTGCCGGTCTCACAAAAATAACTTTACCTGAGAGATAAAGCTTGGATGGAATCTCTACCAAGAAAGCCTGGGACATTATCCTGATACCTCTACCTCTAGCTTTCTACTGTTTAATCCTCTTTTCGTTGGACTAATGTTTTCTACCTTGTACAGATCCATTCCTTCCTACATCAAGTTGGCATTCATCTGTCTTTTCCTCTAGGATGTAGGGAGACAGGACCTTTTTGCCACTATTGTGATTCATGTTTGTGTCCACAAGTTTTGCCATCTCACCAGACATGTGGTAGGCTCATAGCACACATGAACACAGAAACATACATGTTCCACAATTGGCACTTACCTGCTCCTGAGGGCGGATGACCACTGTATTAAAATCAGGCCATTTGTCTACAAGGGCCTTTAGCTTGAATGGGTCTCCATGGTTTATGTGGAAGACAGTACCATACACCTGCCGGACCACAAGGAAAGGGACAAGGTAAGTTTATGCAGAAGGAATGTCAAAGTGTGCTGTTCAATGAGAAGAAATGTTTCTATGAAATTGCTGCATTTTGTGATAGAAAAGAGCTATCTTGATTATCTAAATCCAGCAATCTCCATGTACTATTTTCCTTTTTCAACCTGAATTTGATGGGCTCTTTCTCCATCAAATGTGACTCATAATGCAAGGAGTAAAGACTCCAATAAAATCAATCTTACTTTATTGTAGGATTTAATATTGTTTCCAGTCCTTTTCTTTCTAAGCTTTCTCCTATTCATACCCAGAGGCATACAACTAACTTTAAAAAAAATCAAATTCCCGAGATATGTTATTTTCCCCATTTTATAGAATATGTGGTATAGAGTAATACAAATCCAGGAATGGTTTTCTTTTAAATACACATACCACCCAGAGAGTTATACCTAGATTTCACCAGTATGGGCATGCCCTTTTTTTTATTGTTGATGAAAAATAAGAGCAAGAATTTGAATCTACTTAGAGTGTTTCTTGCCTAGTTGAGGATATAAGCATTTGTGTTATTTATTGTACTCAACCCAAAGATTTCCAAACAATTGCAATGAGGTTAAGAAACATACTAACAGCCTGCTTCCCACAGCAGCCCAATACATATTAAGGTTGGAGCAATTGGGCAATTGCAGTAAAAACAGAAAGCAAGCTAAAGTCAAGGGCACTAGTATGATGGTTAACCTCTCACCTGGCAAGTGGTCCATTGGAATAAACACATTAAATGATAATATGTACCCTCAATTGATTTTGAAGAAAATCTCTGGGCAAAGTTCAAGGCTATTAAGGACTTGAAAGAGAACAAGGGAAGGATTTCTTTGGTGATCACCCAGACCAAAAAAAAAAAAAAAAGCAGGTGATTATATCATTCCTCTACACCTCATTACTGGTGGGATATTTATCAAATAACTCCGCATCCTTCTCATTCTTTTTCCTTTCCTGGGGCTTGAACGCTGGGCCTGGGCACTGTCCCTGGGCTTCTGGTGCTCAAGGCTAACACCCTGCCACTTGAATCACTGTACCACTTCCTACTTTTTGGAAGTTCATTGGAGAGAGGAGTCTCATGGACTTTCCTGCTTGGGCTGGCTTTGAACCATGATCCCTAGATCTCAGCCTCCTCATAGCTAGGATTATGGGGGTGAACCACTGGCGCCTAACAGCATCCATTATGTGGTTTTTTTTTTTAATCAATGACAAGGACTTCATACCAAATATTAAGTAGAGATTTCTGCAAATTCAAGGGGAGTAACTATGGGACGGTTCTTGACATCAATGTGAATCTTTTTCACAGCAAGTTTCCCTGAGGTTCCCTCAGCATTTTGTTCTTGTCACCTTCAAGGACTCGGGAAGGCTCTTCACCAGAGCTTTCTCCAGCATCTGCAACATCTGGGCACCTTGCAACAACAACATGGTGGAAGAAAATGCCTTTGCCTAGAGATGACCAAGGAACATCCAGGAATGAGAAGAGCTGGAGCGAATTCAGTGACCAAAGTGGCAAGTGCTGTATTATGGGCCAAGTCCTTCTTTACTGGGTCTTCCTGGACATCCTCATCGACTCTGAAGAAAGACAAGATGGGGCAGAGGGAGCAGAAAGCACAAAGATCTCTTTCTACATTTCTCACAGCCCATGTTTACCCTTGAAGGAATTCCAGCCGGTTAGTTTTCACTTCAGATTCACCTGTCTACTTTAAAGACATGTGTCTCCTGAATGTTAGTTGGTGTGGGTGATTATCCTGGCTCCTTTAGGAACAAGCTGTGTAACCCTGGGAACACTGCTTAGCCTGTCTGTGCTTTGTTTTCATCAAAGGTAAATGGGTGATGTTGGTATAATTTGTGGAGGGGAAGGCGAAAAACAAATCTTTTAAATAGGGATACAGGTGGACTCATTGCAACAATGAGATGTACAAGTCGTTATGTTGGAAACGAACTTTACAACTTTGGTGCGGGGGGAGGGGGGGGAGGATGGGAAGGGATGGGAAAGGGAAACAAAGGAGGAGGCTACAATGCTTGATAAGAAATGTACTCATTATCTTGTCCATGTAATTGTAACCCCTCTGTACAGTATTTTCACAATATAAAAAAAATAAACATCAAAAAAGGTAAATGGGATAATAGCACTGACTTCATAGAATTTTCATGAACAATACATGGAGGGCCTACATACAAGATGCTCAGGATGGGCTGGGAAGGTGGCTCAGTGGTAGAGCGCTTGCCTTGCATGCATGAGGCCCTGGGTTTGATTCCCCAGCACCACATAAGCAAAAAGAAAAAAGCTGGAAGTGGCGCTGTGGCTCAAGTGGTAGAGCGCTAGCCTTGAGCTGAAGAGCTGAGGGACAGCGCCCAGGCCCAGAGTTCAGGCCCTACAACCGGACCCCCCCCCCAAAAAAAAAGATGCTCAGTGAAACTTTAGCTATATAGAAAGCACTGTTCCACTACTATGATTACTCTCCTCCTCCTGTTCCTTCTTCTTTTCCTCACTTGGGTTAAAATGCTTTATTGTTTAGATGAGCCTTGTTTTTGCTCTTTCGGTACTGAGGAGTAACCCCAACCTTGTACTGTCTAGATAAGCACTCTATCACTTGAGCTACATTTTCAAGATAGATTATCAATGACTTTGTCCAGTCTGGCCTCAACTTGGAATCCTCTTACTTCTGCATTTTGGGTTACTCAGATTACAGGTATGCACCACCATGCCCATTTTCTGCAATGTCTTCACGTTAGGACATTTGAACATATTCTAAACATAGATAAAGGCCCTTCCTTAAAATTATTGCTAAATCATATTGAAAGCTGCTGCTTTTGTCCTGCCACTAAGGTTGGCTTCATTTTTCAACCCAACATCATCTCTCAGCCTCATTTTTGGATCTGTGATACATATTGTAGAAATTAGTAGGGAATAGGCAAACAATGCTTTCAGTTATTTTAGGTGAGGATAGGGCTTTGCACTCATGCCTGGGCCGGCCTAGACTAAGATCCTAAGCGCTGGGATCTTGTCATAGTTGGGCTGACAGGATGAAGCACAATGCTGGGTGGTTGTTTGAAATGAGGGTCTCACCAACTTGTTGCCTGTGTTGGCTTTGAACTATGATCTTCCTGTCCTCTACCTCCTGAATAGCAAGGATTATAGAAATAAGTCACTCTACCAGCCTTAACTTTGCTGACCCTTGCTCTTTTCTTCTTGTATAACAAAATTCTAGTATCTAGAAATAAGAAGAGATCATGTAAAATATAACCACTAGTAGGGCAATGCAACCTTTAACACATTCATGTCAAACACATAGGCATAGTACATAGTACGTATGGACATTTGATAAAGCACTAGAGATGGGAAACATGGGACCTAAAATGCAACATATACAGTCTAAGTACAATTCAAAAGAGAACATAGGTAAACAAAAATATGATGAAGCTGGAATTACAGGTTAAAAAGTTACATCATAAAATGAGCTTGTATGATGTAAATGAACAATTAATCTGGTCTGTTTTCTGTTACGTCTTCTCTGACTTTGAGCTTAACTATCTTCTCACCAGTCATGCAAAGAAATAAAACAATGCATACCATATGATGTAACCAGAAAATTTAATTATAATATTTACAGCATCTCTACATAGCCGTTTCTCCATTTTCCCACTTGTTCCCAGAAAGTCTCAATCCTTCCTCATTTATATACTAGTTCAGGCCCAGACATACATTTCTTAAATTATATTTGCTCTTTTCCCTGTGCCCACACATCCTAACGATAAATAACTAAATGTGAATATTCTGAGTTGAGTCCTTTGCCAGTCCTGGGGCTTGAACTCAGGGCCTGGGTGCTTTGGACTTAAGGCTAACGCTCTACCTCTTGAGCCACAGCTCAACTTCTGACTTTTTGTGGCTAATTGGAGAGAAAAGTCTCAGACTTTTCTGCCCCGTGCTGGCTTTAAACAGCAATCCTCAAATCTTAGCCTCCAGAGTAGCTGGGATTATACCAGCTCCTGGCTCAATGACTATCTTTTATTCTTTAAAAAAAAAAAATGCTAGGATGTTTCTTTCAAGTATACCACATGATTTTAAATGAGCATAAAAGTGAGTTCCCAAAGTGAAACCAATCAATACCGGTTTCATGTATTTGTTTGCGTGGGGATATTTGGGTTTGCTTACTTGTTTTTGTCAGAACAGCCAAAATCTGTTCACTTAGCGTGAATCCTACACACAAAACAATTTCAATGCCTGGGTCTCTCGCGTCATCCATTTGACCCTCAGTCCTGTCTATGACCCACACGTCTGCTGCTTTACGACATCACCTGAAAAGCTGCAGCCACACCAGTCTCCAAGGACGTCCCTGGGATCCCACGTCTAGGAAAAGAGATTCCCTTCCAGTGAGATCAGTTCAGCACCCACCGGAGAATGAGGAGAATGAGGAGTCGTGGTGTACGTCCTCCCGGGTCTCTGAGCTGAGGCTTGCAATCCGGACTTTGCACGGAGCAGGAAGGATGTCTGGAGATCAGCTCCAATGGCAGCGAGTCAAGCTCCTATTGCAGGAGTCGGCTCTACAAAGCCAGGACGCTGCCACGGGCCCTTTGAATTTCTCTCCCAAACACTGCCCTGCTCTTTGTCCCCACAGTGCAAACCAAAGCTGTATGAAACCAGCATCTGGACACTGCAAAGCGGATCAGGTTGAACTGGCCCTGTCGGCTCCCTCCCCTTCCTGTTCTCAAGTGTCTCAGCGGCAGTGTTTGTTGATTGGAATGAGGTCTGATTTGCATGGTTCCCTACTGACTCTTGATTGGAATGAGGTCTGATTTGCATGGTCCCCTACTGACTCTTGATTGGAATGAGGTCTGATTTGCATGGTCCCCTACTGACTCTTTTACGAATAGACAAAAGAGGAAAGTATTTGCTTGGAGCTACTGATGCTGTTAAGATCTTTTGTTGTTGTTGTTGTTATTGTTATTAATTATTGTATTATCTTTTTTTGTTGGCTGTGGGGCTTGAACTCCGCGCATGGGCACTGAGGTCCCTGAACCTTTTTGTGTTCAAGGCTAGCACTCTATCCCTTGAGCCACAGCACCACTTTTGGTTTTTGAGTGGTTTGTTGGAGATTAAGAGTCTCATAGGGACTTTTCTGCCTGGGTTGGCTTTGAACCTCAGATCTCAGCCTCCCGAGTAGCTAGGTTGATAGGCATGAGCCACTGGCGCCGGCTAATTATTTTATTATCTTTAAGTAGTAGCTGTACAGAAGGGTTTCGGTTCAACATGGCAGTTTGTGAACTCAATGCCTCTTCCTCAGTGTCAACCCTTTCTTCATTCTCCCCCATCTCTTCCAACCTAGCCCTTCCCCTCAACTTTCCTAGCTCCATTTTCACCTATATATTTAATAGGATGACTGCATTCTCACCTCTTTTTTTTCTTCATTTATCTACTCCTCCCCCCCATTCCCCTTGACCTTATCCAGCTTTCCTGATATCCATTTTGTTAGGCTGTAGGTGGTCAAAGGAGTTACACACTTGAAATTCTTCCCTGCACATATCATACTTACTTAATACATTTGTGTACATATGCCTGTGGCCCTCTATATGCTTACTTACATGTTTGTAAATTAGATCTAACTTCCACATCAAAGAAACACACGTCTTCTGTCTCTCTGGGCCTGGGTGACTTCACTTAACATCTTTTTTTTTTTTTTCAGATCCATCTATTTTTTTGCAAATGGTGAAATGCCATTCTTCTTCATAGATGAGTAAAACTCTGTTGTATATATGTACCACATTTTCTTGATCCATTCGTCTACTATAGGGCATCTAGGATATTTCTATATGGTGCTTATGGTGAATAGTATAGCAATGATCATGGTTGTACAAGTAACTTTATTGCATCCTAATCTGACATTTGGATAAATGCGTAAAGGGGTATCACTGGACCGTACGGTAGGTCTTCAATGTTTGTTTTAAGGAATCTCCAAACTGATTTCCATAGTGAGCACACCAGCTCACATTCCCATCAAAAGGGTTCCTTTTCCTCCATATCCATACCAGTATATATTTTTTCTATTTTTTTTTAATTATAATAATATTTATTCGAAAGAGATGGAGTTTTAAATTAGATTGACAAAAAAGTCAGGAAACAATATATTCAGTTTTGCTCATGAATTGAAAAAGCAATTTATTTCTGATAGCTAAATTAATATTCAATTTTGTATACATTGCTGTGTGCATACTGAAATGCATGCACATATACATACATAAATAGCTGAAATCATAATATATATGGAATATCTTATTGTATCTGTTCATCTACCACTATATCTTCACATTATAACCAGATGGTTTTCTCATTCTTTGTATTCTTGATGGTGGCCATTCTTACTGGGGTGAGATGGAATCTCAGTGTTGTTTTCATTTCCATTTCCTTTATGGCCAGGGATGTTAAGTGAAGATCCTTCTTTCTTTTAGAATAAGCTAGTTCCTCTCTCCTGCTAACTTGGAAAATTCAGTTAGCAATAATTCAGTGAGAAGACCTGTTCATCTCACTTTTATAAAGAAAGAAACTGAGGTTAGTGTGGTGAAGTTAGAAGTACTTAAGTCCTGAGCATGTTCATTCTTCAATTTTTTTAATTATAAAATTCTTCAGTTTTGTTATACAGAGGAAGATTTCATTGTTCAATTTCCACATGTTTACAATATGTTCCCAACAACCTCACCTCCCCATGAATTCCTTAGGTTTAGATCTTCTGTTTCATTTGTCATATGTTTTTGTGCCAGGACCATGCTGCTTTTATAACTATGGCTCTGTAGTATAATTGGACATCTAGAATTGAGAGAGAACAAACATTGATCGTTTTTTCTAAGGTTACTTAGGCTATTCAGCACTTTTTGTGCTTCCACTTGAATGTTAGGGTCGGTTTTTTTCTTTTTGTGAAGGGCACTTTGACGAATATTGAATTAAAATTTGTCATAGGAAAACTCTTGGAGATCTAAGCCTAGGCAGGTGTTCTATTAATAGGATTTTACTCATTCAGGACCTAAGAACAGGAACTGAACGTAGGAATGCATCAAATTAAAAAAAACAAAAAAACTTCCATCCATCAAAGGAAACAATGAGCAGAATGAGGCGAGGGCACAGAGTAGAGATGGGCTATTTGCTGGATAAGAGATTAATATTAAAAACAGAAAGCTAAAAAGATATGCACCAAAAGCACAAATAATCCAGGTAATAAGTGAGCAACAGGAGTTAACCAGTCCTCCGAAGGAATACAAATGGCCGATAAACAACATAATATTCAACATCCTGAGCCATAAAGTTATGTGGAGCCAAACTACACTAAGATTCCATCTCATTTTAGTTAGTGCAGTTAGTATCAAGAAAACAAAAAACATGGGGCTGGGAAGTTGGCTCAGTGGTAGAGCGCTTGCCTTGCATGCCAGAGGCCCTGGGTTCGATTCCTCAGCACCACATAAGCAAAAATAAAAGATAAAAAAATAAAAAAAAAAGAAAACAAAAAACACTATTATTGGGGAGGATTCAGACCCTCAAACGCTGCTGGTAGGAAAGCAAACTAGTGAAACTGCTAGGAAATCAGTATGAAGTTCATCAAAAAGCTAAATAGTATAACCCTATTATACTATTCTTGGGTACCTATCAAGTATAAATCAATATACAGGTGGGACACATGCACACTTATATTAATTAAAATGTAGAAAGAAAGATAGTGAAATGGGGAGGGGGAAGACTCAAAATATGGCCAACAGGAAGACTGAAAGTGTTCAATGTCATTAAAATCAGGAAAATGCAAATCAAAACCACATTGAGATATTCATTACAACCAACATTTGACTCACAAATGAAGAGACAACAAGTGTTTACAAAAGTGGTGAAAGGAAACTCGTGTACGCTGTTGGTAGAAACGTAGATTGATAGACTCATTGTAAAAAATTTGCTTAGGGAATTATAGAGAAATTTAAAATAAGATTACTACATAACTCAATTCCCTTTTGTCCTTTTACACACAAGAGGTAAAATGATCACTTCACCAAGATCATTGCTGCTGGTCTCACTCATCCATAGTAACTAGAATATGTCTAGAATATTCTTAGGAGAGGCCAACAATAGCGCAATGTATACGTATATGCCTATGACCATATAAAATGATGCTGATTGATGCGTATTGAAATGAACTCCAAGAAATGGAAACAAGGTTTTTTTATTGTACTATTTGCAGTTATTTCTTTTTTTCTTTCGTTTTTTCCATTTGGTTTATTCCCTGATGTCACTGCTTTTCATTTCTGTGCCCTTTGTCTTGAATACAAGTTTCTCTGATTGGGGGAAGGGAATCACAGAGCCAGTGGGACAAAGCGTGCACCAATGCAACAGTGATACTCACTAGACACTCTGCTGGAAATGAACTAGACAACTTTGGGAGACCAGGGTCTCTGTAGGGGAAAAAGCAGGAGAAAATGGCGGGGGGGGAGGTGCCTCTAGCCTTACTGAAACAACCAAAGTGTCTGTTGACAGACAAATAGATGAAGAAACTATGGCTTGGTATATATATGCATTGGGGTATTATTCAAACCTAAAAGGAACAAGATCCTGCCAGCCTTGGCACAACACCTGTTGTGCTAAGTGAACTAAACCACACACACACACACACACACACACACACACACACACATTGTACCAGTTCACATATGTGGGATCTAAAATAATTTTAAAACAGTAGACAGCAGGGAAGGGAGGGGTGTGTGATCAGAGGATCTGACACAGTAGGATGAACAGTGGAATTAACATATCCAGGGATGAACTGGACCAGAACTGTACTGCATGTAAGATCCATGCTGAATGAGATCTAAGCAGGTCTTCTTGCACAAACAGAACAAGCAGGCAAGAGTGTCAGATAATGTGTCTGTTCATTTGCTTTACAATAATCAATCTGTATGTACTCCCAAGCAGCTCTTTGGGAGACATTCGGTAAGATTTACTTTAAAAATAATAAAACTCACGGGGGTTGTGCCCAGCTAATATCACATGGCATGCAATATTTATTTACATATGCAATATCTAGCATGATTATTAAACAGCCCACCTAATTCAGCCTGATTGTTCAGAGCCAGCTTCATAGGGGTTCACAGATCCACTGATTCAAATCACACGGCTTGGGGAGAAGAAGGTTCAGAGTTTTTCAATTTTGTTGGATCTGCCTGTCTTCTTATATGCAGGGAAGCTAAGTGTTTCCACGGACAGACTCTGGACATAAAGGACAGGAGCTGAGACCTTGGGCCCAGTACTTGGGCACAGTGCCACCCATTCAGATCTCTCCAGTCTGGTCCATCAGGGCCCAGGACACAGGAGTGCCCTCAGGTCCAACAACACAGGTAGAAGGGAAGGTCTGGATACAGCGCTTGATGAATCTCTGGCTTCTCAGCCCAGAACTGAAACACCAAGGCCGCATGGCTAACATCCAGTAACTCAAGTTTAAACAGCTCTTGGTTACTATTGAGAAAAATTGGGGGGGAGGGGTAACAGTCCAAAACACAAGGTACACTGTGAAGCATTCCATTTATCCCACCCCCCCCCTCAACTTCTATTGAGAGATAAGTAGGAACAGAAGTCATGGTACAGTACTCTCTACATTCAGGTGAGATGCATAAGTATGCGCTATTAGATGATGTCTCTCTGCTT